TCCTGCCCCGTCCCATCCCAGGGAAGTGGATGGGCCTCCCTTGGCCTGGTCCCAGCTTTGGGTACCTGGGGGAGGGGTGCAGCTGCCCCACAGGTGTTTCCTGCTCAGATGGCTCCCATCCCCTGAGCCTCAGGCTCCTGTCCTTCCTTCCTCTTCACAACTGAAGCCCCGCCTCCCTGCCCCCCCTTCTCCTTCCAGATGTGGCAACATCTAACAAAGGCAGAGGCCAAGCTCAATAACCCCGACTCCAGGGGGCGGCAGGAGCTGACCGAGTCAGTTTACACGGACGTCCTGGACCAGAGCTGCTCCCAGAACTGGCAGGAGTGAGTTACCAGTCCAGCACCCACCCCACTCCACCGGCAGCCGAGCTCCCACTCCCCACTCACACTGCGCGCGCACTAGGGCTCTGGTCCCAGGGAAAGGGCTGGTGGGCATCAAGTTGGGCTCTCGAGCCGGGGCAAGGGGGAGGACAGATGGCCAGCAGACAAGGTCACTGTGACCTTGAACCAGGGACTTTCCCGCTGTGAGCTCAGCAAATGCCAAATGCACTATGCTTGGTATAGAGGCGGGTCCCTTCCTGGCTGGCTCCCACCAATGCCATACCTCTCTTCTCCCACTGCCACCAGCTATGGAGTCCAAGAACTGAACCAAGTGAAACGTCTGGTGGGCCCAGGCCTTCGCAAGGGGCCAGAGCCAAGCATCAGCGTGATGATCACAGGGGGCCCTTGGCCCATCAGGTGATGATGAGGGTGGGGAGTGAGATGGAGCCCTTGGACCCTTGGTCTGGCCCCCCTATCCCAAATCAGCCTTCTGGGCTGGGCAGAGTCTGAGACTCTTGGTGGGCTCCCCCAGGCTCTCCACCACATGTTTTCACTATCTGGGGGAGTTTGGAGAAGACCAGATCTATGAAGCCCACAAACAAGGCCTAGGGGCTCTGGAGGCCCTGCTGTGTGGAGGACCCCGAGGGACCTGCTCAGAGGAAGTGCCAGTCACAAGGGAAGAGCTCTAGTCTTCTGATGAACATGCCTTTCCCTGAAGAGAAGCTGAGGCCTCGTCTGGATCCTCACATTCCTTCCTGCTGCTGCCTGAGGACAGGGAGGCCTGCTCTGTGTGCCACTCCCTCTCCCCTCCAGCTTTGGGGCATTAGGGTCTGGTGTGTGTGGGGGGGGGCAAGCTTTCCCCTCTAGATTCAAATAAACCCAGTGACCTCAGCTCCTCTGAAAACAGTACTTTGGGGCTGGGAGGGCAGACATCAGTGTTTCTGCTGAAGTGCTTCCTAGAGAGGTCCGACTACACATCTCACTACTTCGCCAAAGGAAGAGAGCTTTCCAGCTGGAAGTGTGAGCGAGCTGTTTGATGGTGACACCCCAAGTCTTCAGATCCATTATGACAGAAGAGAAAACCAAGGACAACTCTGTAGGTGGCCACCAAATACCCATGCCTGCTGACACCACCCTGTCCTATCTGTGCCCTCCCAGGACACACATTTCATTAGCCTAGGCCCTGCGGTTGCTCACTGTCCACACTCTGTCTCTGACCCCAGCTCAGATGGTTGGGCCCTGGGTGCCTGCCTGGGGCAGGGTGGACAGGGTTCCTGGAACCAGCCAGATTGAGCATCGTGGCTCTTAGTCCTGCTCTCTCCAGAAATTTTTCTGGCCAAGGACCCTTTCTTTAGGAATGAAGCTCTGGGCCCCATCTAGGACTAGGAACCTGGGTCCGTGGGGTGCTACAGCTTGCAGTTTTGTGAGTGTCTCTGATCCCATGAAGCTCTGGAAGGTAGACAAAACAGACACTTGAAGTCCCATTTGTTGCAGAAACAGGTTTAGATAACAAAACAGGGTCAGGTCAGGTCCTCGGCTGAGTAGGGGCAGGACTGGGAGGGGATTCAGATTTTGGTGGTGGAAGACCAGGGGCTGGAGGAGTGGAGGTGGCCTAGGCAGGCCCTGAGCACGCCAGCTTCCTTGTTTCAAGATCTGCTTGAGGTTCCTTCTACCCTGGCCTTCACCCCAGAAAAGAAGCCCTAGATACTAGGGAGAAAGCCAGGCCCCAAGGAACCTGCCGAGCTGTCAGTAATACAGGGTGTGGAGCAGAGTTGTGACGTGGCACTCTGGCCACCTAGAGTGTTCACCTAGAGTGGCCTAGAGAGACTGCATCAGAGTCTGCACCTGTGTAGCTGGGACCATGTGCAACTTCCCGGCATTGTCTCTGTGCGTTGTGCAATTTGAGTGGACTGAGCATCCAAGGAGCTGTGGGTGTGAGGAGTGGGGCTGTGTTCCCATTACCCTCTGGAGAGTACTGGGAGGAGAGGGTGGGGAGGAAAGTACTGAGGAGGCTTCTAACTGGTCAGACAACTTCGGGAACCTGGAAATGTGAGCCAAGAGGGAGAGGAGAGGACAAGCAGGGGGCAGAAGCACAGGCTGAAGGCCGGACAGGCAGACGGATCCAGGACTGTGGGATGAAGCTGCTGTCCAGCTGGAGAACTGTGCTGCCCATAAGCCCTCGGGGCAGGGCCTGGCAGTGGGCGCAGCAACCCAGAAGTAGGTGCCTAGGGCTGTGGGGCTGTTGGTGCTACTCGAGGGGGGGGGGGGGGAATTTGGAGAAGACCAGAACTACGAAGCTTGGCAACAAGGCCGAGGGGCTCCAGAGGGCAGCAGAATGGGGACCCCAGGCCCAACTGACACCAGCTGAGGAGCTGGGCTTCTCGGGCCCTCCCCATCTTCCCATCTGGCAGCCCTCAGCCCAAGGGCTGGGCCTGTCAGGAGGGGAGACAGGCCGGGCATGAGTCTGGCTTTCTGGGCTGTGTGACACGCAGGCACACAGTGTCCAGTGCTTCAAAGGCCTGGTGGGCAGTTAATGCTCTGCTGTTTCTGTTTTACTGTTCTTAGTATTTTTGGCAGAGGGCTCCATATTCTTATTTTATGCTGGGACCCATAGACCATGGAGCTGGTCCTGGCTGGTGAGGGTGAGGGGTGAGAGGGAAGAAGAGGAAATCCTTGTCAGGCCAAGCCAAGCCAACCTGAACAGTTCGTGCACAGAAGCCCAGCTGTTTCTTGTCTTAGGAGCCCCAAGGGGTGAGGGGTGGTGGTGGAAGGGCAGTTCAGATCAATCTGGATTTGAGGACTGGTTTTCTAGAATTCTATTACATGTGTGGCCTTGTCAAATGACATCTCCTGGGTCTGTTTCCTCAGCTGTAAAAGGGGTTAACATTCAGGACTGGGGCTACACAGGATGGAGCGTGGCTGCCCCTCGGCATGCAGTCGTTCCTCAGTAATGAGGACAGCTGCAATGAGGATGATGAAGGTGAACATGTCATTATTAATGGGGAAGGAGGCTGGGTATGGTGGCATGTGCACAATCCCAGCTACTCTGGAGGCTGAGGCAGGAGGCTTATGTACCCAGCCTGGGCAACATAGTGAGACCTTGTCTCTGTGAAAAAAAAAAAATAGAGGCATGGACCAGCCAGTGGCATGGTGGTTAAGACAGCTGGATCCCACATACCTGACTGTGTGGTTCAAGTCCTAGACCCAGCATCTTACAAAACACACCAGGTGCATGTGATGTGCATGTGATGTGTATGCTGAAAATCCCAGAGGAGAATGGAGAAGGGGTTGCTGTGTAGCCATACCCCCGAAGGGTGATTTCTCACTTTCTCTCTCCATCATTCTCTGTCCCTTTCCAGCAAATAGACATGCCCTAAAGCAAAACTAAAAAAAAATAATAATAAAAAGGGGAGGAGATGAAGGAAAGAGCCTCATACCAGTGTGACATAATAAGGGCCCATTTCCACTCCCTTTCGTCTCACCTCACCCAGGGTTTGGTCAGCTTCCAAGACTGTCCACCCCCACGCCTCGACTCTGGCCCTTTCTTGGGAATCAAAGACAGGTCCTGTGCGCAGGCTAAGGAGCCACTGAGGAAGAGTGCACAGGAGGCAGGTGTCACAGAGGCCGGGTGGCCTTTACAACTGCAGCCAGGGTTAATACGTTACCTCCACCCGGATCCCCCTTTCGCAATCTGGAGCTGAGGATCTGGTTACAGATTTACTCTGAACAATGTCCGATGTGTGGAGTAAAGTCCTTCTTGGACTTCATAGAGTCGTTCTCTCTTCTCCTCAGGAACTGCTCAAACCTATGCCCCAGAGATGAGGGCCCAGGAGGACCCCCAGGGCCAGACGCAGGTGCTGGGGATAGGTGGGAGCTGGGTGGGGTTGGGCAGGGGCGGGGTGCAGGCCTTCTCCCTGGGAAGGCAGAGACAGAGTGTCTGTGAACTTGACAGTGACTGGCAGTTGGGGGATGGGGCGGAGTTGGGAAGGAAGCAGACTTCAGCTTTGGGAAGTACAGTACAGGCCAGTACAGGTCTAACCTCCCACCAGGGACACCCCAAGGACCTCCAGGGGCAGAGGTGGGATAGAGTGGGCTTGTCCACAATCTCGACCCATCTCAGTTCCCCTTCCTGGTGCCCCCAGGTCTTCTGCTTTAGGAGCCCATGCCCCTGACTAGAATGCCCAGGTCCTGGGGCTCTAGAAGCCAGCACAGGGGACTCCTCCCTGCAGGAGCCAATGTGAAGAGGGTCAGTGTGGCCACCTGGAGTGGCAGCCAGGTGGATGGGCTGTGGGGGAGGTTGGGGACTCAAGTTTGCACCCCACGCTGAGTAGCTGAGAGGCCACTCAGGCTACCCGATTGATGCTGAGAAGGATGGATTTGGCTTGTCCTCATCACCCCACCCTGAGCTACTTCTCTCTGCCACCCCCAGCATGAGTCCCTGGGCTCTGCAGGGAATTTCACCAGGGACTCCCCAACATCCCGGCCCACAGAGCCCACGTTTGACATGTTGTACAAGATCGAGGACGTGCCGCCTTGGTACCTGTGCATCCTGCTAGGCTTCCAGGTGGGCTCTCCCACTCCCAGGGTGTCCCCACCCCCACTCCACATGCTCCTCACAGATCCCAGCCCCTCTCCTGCCATCAGGTCATCTTGGGTAACAGGAGGAGAAATCTAAGTCAGCACAGTGACTGTCACAGAGCAGGGGTGGGGAAGAAGCTGGTGGCCCTAAGAAAGAATCAACCCCTGTAGGCATGTGACACCTGCCAGTGTTGGGCTCACTCTTCAGAAGTCCAGGGATAACTGGGGCAGGGGGCGGGAGTCAGTGCCCCCCAGGGTGGATACCCTCAATGGAGAACATTGGTCCTGAGGAGGACACGGCTAAGGCAGCCCAGGGTCAGGCCATGGTAGCAGGCATGAGAAATGGGAGGTGGGCTGCCCTGACCCCCTCAGGGCTCCCTGGGACCTGCCTCAAGCACTCCGCACCCCCCTTGCCTCCAGCACTACCTGACATGCTTCAGTGGCACCATTGCTGTGCCCTTCCTCCTGGCCGAGGCGCTGTGTGTGGGCCGTGACCAGCACATGGTCAGTCAGCTCATCGGCACCATCTTCACCTGCGTGGGCATCACCACGCTCATCCAGACCACGCTGGGCATCCGGTGAGCTTCCCTGCCCTGGGCCCTCCTGAGACACTCACACTCACACTCACACAGATCCACACAGCGAAAGCACAAGGCCTCTCTTGGAGGACTCGTGGGACAAAAAAGGTACGAGCTGCCCCACCTGCTGCTCCTACCTCCAGGGCCAACCCATGAGCTAGGCAGTGTCCCCAAGGACAAGGAGTCTGTGAGTCTAAGAAACTGTGTCCTAGCTGGACTCTCCCGTCTTAAGCCCTTCGAACACTCAGGACCACTTGCTTCCCTGCCCGGCAAGAGCCCACTTCCAGTCCTGTTCAGCAGTCCGTCCTCCTGGTGACCCATCTCTTGTGCACAGCCTTAGACCTAGCTAGTGAAAGGACAGCTGTCAGTGGCTGGGGGTGAGGGACCGGAGGAGGTCGCTAGCAGGGTATAGATACCGGAACTGAGCTGTCTTCTGTGCTCGCCAGCCATCGCAGCGCAGAACTGGGGCTGAGAGGGGAAGGGAGCAGGTTCTGAGCTAAAGGCTCCGTTTGTTTTCTTCTTTGGACCAGGAAAAATGTTAGACAGTACTGCCTGGGCTTCAAGGGCTTCCCTCTGCCCTGCCCCTCCACCTGTCCCTCTGCGTCTCTGTCCCTCTCCCGGTCTCCCTAGCTCTATGGCCATCCTCCCTAACAAACCTCCCCCTTCCCCCTTGCTGCTGTTTCTCTTCTCCAGGCTGCCACTGTTCCAGGCCAGCGCCTTTGCATTTCTGGTTCCAGCCAAAGCCATCCTGGCCCTGGAGAGATGGAAATGCCCCCCAGAAGGTGGGCACACTTCTGGGGGCTGTGCTGGAGGAGTGTAGAGGCCCAGGGGCTTGAAGGTCTGAGCCGCTGTCCCAAGGCTAGGTGTCAGGGTGCATTAATATCTTCTCCCCAACCCATCTTGTTCTCTGCATGTGTGTATGATGTGTGTGTGTCTCTGTCTCTGTCCCCAGAGGAGATCTACGGTAACTGGAGTCTGCCCCTGAACACGTCTCATATCTGGCACCCAAGGATGCGGGAGGTGGGTTTGCATGCACATGTAGAAGTGGGACCTGAGCAGGGGGCCAGATGGCAGTGATGACCACTGCTGAGTTGGGGCATTGGAGGAGATGGAGGAGGTGGTCAGGAGCTTTCATCCTGCTAGCAACCAGGCCATGGCCTTTACATAGTGACTTATACCTGATTCTTGCCCTTTCAGGTCCAGGGTGCAATCATGGTATCCAGCATGGTAGAGGTGGTCATTGGACTCATGGGGCTGCCTGGAGCCCTGCTCAGCTACATTGGGCCTCTCACAGTCACCCCCACTGTCTCCCTCATTGGCCTGTCTGTCTTCCAGGCTGCTGGTGACCGAGCTGGCTCGCACTGGGGTATCTCGGCCTGGTGAGTGGGTACCAGGCCTGATCCCCGCCTAGTCACAGCCCTCCATCCTCTGCACGTCCCCCCCCCTCACCCTTAGTCCTGGCTCCTGGCCCCAGACTGGCCTACCAGCCACCTCCTCTTTGTACCTCTGCCTCCAGCTCCATTCTCCTGATCGTCCTCTTCTCCCAGTACCTACGCAACCTCACCTTCCTGCTGCCTGTCTACCGCTGGGGCAAGGGTTTCACTTTCTTCCGGATTCAGATCTTCAAGATGTTTCCCGTGAGGAGCTGGCAAGCAGATGGGCCTGGGGCTAGGGCAGGGGCAGGGGCAGGGGCAGGGAGAGCATGGGAGCTAGAGCCAGAGAGGGGAAAGGCCCAGCGAGGGGCTGGAGTGGGTGTGGGGGCCATGTCCAAACTGGGACGAAGGCTAGGGGGTGGGGTGGCAGTGAGGGCTGACATTGGAACAGGTTTGGCTGGACCAGACCTCAGGCCTTCAGCACGCCCCTTGCTCGCTCTGCTTCAGATTGTGCTGGCCATCATGACGGTGTGGCTGCTCTGCTACATCCTGACCCTGACAGACGTGCTACCCACGGACCCAGCAGCGTATGGCTTCCAAGCACGGACTGATGCCCGTGGGGACATCATGGCTATTGCGCCCTGGATCCGCATCCCCTACCCCTGTGAGCAACCCCGCTCTGGCCCCTCTGCCCGCAACTGAGACCACCAGGAAACCCCAATCCAGCTGACAATCACTAGATTAGCTGCCCATTCGTAGTGTGCCAGGCAGCCTCGCTCTCGCTCCATGACCCCGAGTGACCCAAATAAGCTGTCACAACTGTCTGGCTCCCATCCCAGCCTGAGACCTCCTTACCCATGCTCGCCCCAGTACTGCCCTGCCCATTCCCGACCTACCAGAATCTCCTCACTACACCCACCCTCCTGTCTTTGCCCACCCAGGTCAGTGGGGCCTGCCTACAGTGACCGTGGCTGCTGTTCTGGGAATGTTCAGTGCGACACTAGCAGGCATCATTGAGTCCATTGGCGATTACTATGCTTGTGCCCGCCTGGCTGGGGCCCCACCCCCTCCAGTACATGCTATCAACAGGTATGCCCACCTGTCCTCTTTCACAGCTGACCCAACTCAGCGCTTGTGCTGGAAGCAGACATAAGGAAGGGCTTCAGTCCCAGAGATGTAGACTTGGGCAAATCACTAGCACTCTCCAGGCCTCATTTTCCTTCCGATCAAATGGGAGCAACCTGCTCCCATCATTTACGCTGGCATTGCTGGGAGTAGCTGAGATCAATGGGCCCCAAGGGGAGCTACAGCCATCGCCCACTTCCATGCACCCTGCTCTGGGTGTGCATTCTGCATTCCACAAACCACCCTGTGAGACACACCTCATATATATACTTTTATTTATTTATATTTAAATTTTGACTTGAGAGGGACAGAGTGAGAGAGAGAGAAAAAGAGAAAGCAAGCCGCCAGGTCAGGAATTTGAACCTGGGTCAGCCATATGGGAGTTCAACACTCCCAACTGCCCCGCCACCTGCCATCCCTA